CTGTGTGTGTGAGATGAAGGGGTGAAAGTGACAGTCAAACTCCACTGCGGGTCCACAACTCATGTTGTGCTGCTGTAACTAATGTATATATACCTAGTGATCACAACAACACACTATGTGTATGTGAGATGAAGGGGTGAAAGTGACAGTCAAACTCCACTGCGGGTCCACAACTCATGTTGTGCTGCTGTAACTAATGTATATATACCTAGTAATCACAACAACACACTGTGTGTGTGTGAGATGAAGGGGTGAAAGTGACAGTCAAACTCCACTGCGGGGCCACAACTCATGTTGTGCTGCTGTAACTAATGTATATATACCTAGTGATCACAACAACACACTGTGTGTGTGTGAGATGAAGGGGTGAAAGTGACAGTCAAACTCCACTGCGGGTCCACAACTCATGTTGTGCTGCTGTAACTAATGTATATATACCTAGTGATCACAACAACACACTGTGTGTGTGAGATGAAGGGGTGAAAGTGACAGTCAAACTCCACTGCGGGTCCACAACTCATGTTGTGCTGCTGTAACTAATGTATATATACCTAGTGATCACAACAACACACTGTGTGTGTGTGAGATGAAGGGGTGAAAGTGACAGTCAAACTCCACTGCGGGTCCACAACTCATGTTGTGCTGCTGTAACTAATGTATATATACCTAGTGATCACAACAACACACTGTGTGTGTGTGAGATGAAGGGGTGAAAGTGACAGTCAAACTCCACTGCGGGTCCACAACTCATGTTGTGCTGCTGTAACTAATGTATATATACCTAGTGATCACAACAACACACTGTGTGTGTGTGAGATGAAGGGGTGAAAGTGACAGTCAAACTCCACTGCGGGTCCACAACTCATGTTGTGCTGCTGTAACTAATGTATATATACCTAGTGATCACAACAACACACTGTGTGTGTGTGAGATGAAGGGGTGAAAGTGACAGTCAAACTCCACTGCGGGGCCACAACTCATGTTGTGCTGCTGTAACTAATGTATATATACCTAGTGATCACAACAACACACTGTGTGTGTGAGATGAAGGGGTGAAAGTGACAGTCAAACTCCACTGCGGGTCCACAACTCATGTTGTGCTGCTGTAACTAATGTATATATACCTAGTGATCACAACAACACACTGTGTGTGTGTGAGATGAAGGGGTGAAAGTGACAGTCAAACTCCACTGCGGGTCCACAACTCATGTTGTGCTGCTGTAACTAATGTATATATACCTAGTGATCACAACAACACACTATGTGTATGTGAGATGAAGGGGTGAAAGTGACAGTCAAACTCCACTGCGGGTCCACAACTCATGTTGTGCTGCTGTAACTAATGTATATATACCTAGTGATCACAACAACACACTGTGTGTGTGTGTGAGATGAAGGGGTGAAAGTGACAGTCAAACTCCACTGCGGGTCCACAACTCATGTTGTGCTGCTGTAACTAATGTATATATACCTAGTGATCACAACAACACACTGTGTGTGTGAGATGAAGGGGTGAAAGTGACAGTCAAACTCCACTGCGGGTCCACAACTCATGTTGTGCTGCTGTAACTAATGTATATATACCTAGTGATCACAACAACACACTGTGTGTGTGTGAGATGAAGGGGTGAAAGTGACAGTCAAACTCCACTGCGGGTCCACAACTCATGTTGTGCTGCTGTAACTAATGTATATATACCTAGTGATCACAACAACACACTGTGTGTGTGTGAGATGAAGGGGTGAAAGTGACAGTCAAACTCCACTGCGGGTCCACAACTCATGTTGTGCTGCTGTAACTAATGTATATATACCTAGTGATCACAACAACACACTGTGTGTGTGAGATGAAGGGGTGAAAGTGAAAGTCAAGAAACTCCACTGCGGGTCCACAACAACATATGTTGTGCTGCTTTAACTGCTGTATATACTGAACACAACATATCACTGTCCCTATATATTGTGAAATTGAAATGGATTGATGGATAAAAAAGAACAAATAAAGTCAAGTCGTCGATAAGTCAAGTTCTGCTTTAATATACAATTTAGACTACTAAACATAATTTTGGCCACCATTAATGGAAAATAAAGTGTTTAAATAAGTGTTTTTTAGTCATCAATTTATCAAATTTTGCGTTATGAATAATTTATAGTAACTCCGGCACAAAGCTATAACTTTAAACCCCCTTTAAGGCCTACAAAATGTTATTGACCAAACATAACATCGATTCAATCCTAGGTTAGCGTTAGAAACGTGTACCCATATTAATCACGCCCATTTAATCAGTATATTATTCCAACAAGTAGAATGTTTTAGTGCCTGGCTAGGCCCAGCATCCCACTCACTATCTCGTCCGTCGGCTCCGCGCCTCAAAGCCCCTCCAATCAACTCTAGTCTCCTATGGGCCCGTAAACTCTCACGGCGCTCCGGTTGGAATCAATTAGGAATGTTCTCCCTCCAGCCCGGTCCTGTAATGTCACTGCTATTGGATTTCTGACCTTTCGATGCACGATCCATGGGGCCTGGCAGTCCGACAGTCTAGGCACTTCATGATACGTCACAATTACCAATCCTAACTAGCCTAAATGGTTCATTTAAACTTGCATGCAGCAGAGATAACTGGGCAAAAATATTCTGTTCCAAACCATTCTCTAATATTGACACATGTGTAAAATGAAACTGCAAGCTGTGAATCATTGTTAACCGATTTCTATGTTTTCCAAAAAGATTAAATATTGAAGAACATTTCTTTTAGAATACAAATAAAATAAGGCTGTCACTGTTTTCAGCAAACATACATCCTTAGCGAGTATAGGAATTTATAGTAGAGGATTATGCAGGTGGCTGTGATTATGCACAAAAACATTGTGCGCTAGGACGCTTTCGCAATGGTTTTGGCTCTTATTTAATTAATTGGGTTTTTGGTTTAAGCGAATTTCCCATAGTGAATAATCTATTACCGTAGGTTTCCTGGCAAGACCTGGGCTCGGGACCAATTTACTTTTGTATATATATTTTTTTAAATATAAGTTATATTTATATTTGTGTCCATTTGCACGATAACTCTACCAAAAATTATCCGATTTTGATGAAATTCGGTATAGGTATACGTGTTAACCTACATTTATTTAAACGATTTCGCGAACCAGCATGATCGGACTGATGGAACACGGACTGATTGACAAAAACACGGAGATTTACATGCAGTTTTTTTTTTTTTTTTTTATATTGAGTTTATGATTGTGGACAATAGGACAAATTGAAATATCAGAACTTTGTTATATTTATTTGTTTATTTAGTGTCTCGTAACTTTCGCAGTTTGTAAGTGTAGCCCTGCGACTGCAGGCTCGAGTATGCAAATGTCCCGAAGGGGATGGAGCAGTTTTTTGGCAGCTGGAAGTCGGGCCGAGGGAGAAGAGGGGTGTGTAACCGTCACTAGCAGGAAATAAAGCTTTTTATAGTCGCTATATGAATGGAACGGCGGGTACCTAGGTAGAATAAAGAAGTAACCGAACTTGTCTAGAAACCGACCGTCATGCTCGACTAATCTAGTTAATTATGTTGTTGTACTCAGCGGTTAGCTGGCGATTTGGAAAATCAACCTACAAAAGTTTACTAGATATTTTTGGTAAATTAATTCTATAAAGTAGTCTATCGATATAAAAATTCTTCACGATTATTAAAACTATTGTGTTACGTACGCAGTTAAATAATTGTAACTCATTAAATAAATCGTAGGATATTGAAATATTAAGTCTATTGTTTTTAATAATTTCTTAATCTTAAAATATAAACATAACAACTGGTGAAATATATTTAAAATAGGATTGAAAATAATTAACTAGTCCAGACTTATAGAAACAACAAGATATGCCATATAGGTAGTGTAATGTTAATATGGAATTAAAAATGTCCAGGAAAAGCTTGATAGCAAAATCCAGGTAGGTAGCAAAATTAATTGTGATCGTTTCGGGAGCAAGGAGTGAAAGTGAGGTGAAACCGGAAGTTGGACGGAATCAGCTGTTTGCAACACCTGCTATAACGGCCTAGTGCACATCCACCTCCATACCACCCCTGCCACCTGCTCCAATGTCCTGTCAAGCCAACTGTCAATGTAATTGCAAAGTTTGAATCGTTCCAGATCTCTATCGGTCTGCTATTGTTAAGTCTCTAGGAACGATTTTTAAGTTTTAAGACAGGTTATGTTTGGTGTTGGAAGGTTGAAAACTAGCAAGTTCCGTGTCAAGATGTGTGAGGCGGGCCTGGAACCGAAGGAATGTAAAAACAGTGCTGGCGCTGTGTGTATATGAACTACCTACCTGGTCCAACCCAAACCAGTTTCTTTCAATAGAACCGTTCCGACGTTATGGTCCTCCCTGTCCCGTCACAGCAGCGAGGGATTCCCCAAAACACCAAATCCGATATAGGCCTATCCAGGTTCCCCTTTTAGCTTAGTTGCACTTGCGATGTTTAGAAACCTAATAGATAGAAAAATACATTACCGCAGAAGAATGAGACACCCACTGCACTATTAAGATCATCTAATCAATTCATCATTCTGCAAGTACAAATGGCATACAAATATCTTACATTTACCATTTACCGAGTTTGGGGTTTAAGGGTTAAATTTCATACTTAGCTTCGATTGAACCGGTTTAATAGTAGTTTGTTCAGTTCAGTAATGAAAAAGTTTAATCAATCAAGAGCTCAAATTTAAGGCAACATAACGACAAAAATAAAACCGAAGACTGATTGTGTATAAAAACTACAACTGTTGGTTAGTCCATGATGTAACCCTCGGAGACTTTGGAGGTGTTAATACTGTAGTTACTTTTGATTGAGATGAAGAACAACACCATTTGCCAAGGATACTTAAGTACACATTCACAAAACCCTAGGTACAATGGATTGTAGTAATAATAATAATTTGATGACAACAAGCAAGATGTTTTTCTGGGAAGTGTGAAGGTATTTTGAGTGATAATAAACTGTACTTACGAACTGTAACCATCTTTGGATCGTAGCTGCAGACCGCCTGATCCACGGCCGCGATCCTCGTCCGCAACTTAGCCGTGCGACAACAGACATCCTCCAACTGTTTGTTCAAACCCTCGAAGATGTCGTTCGCGATCAACACAACGGATGCCAGTTGTCGTAGAGCACTGCTCAACGTGAAATTCGTCACTGCCTCCAACTCCCCGTCCTTGATCTTAGGTTTTCCGCCATCGTCGTGAAGATTAATCCGACTCAGGAATTTGGGTTGCACTACTCGCTGGACGAACGGCATGTTTAGAGATTAATCGTATCTCTAAAAACACAAATTCCCGCATTACACACATTTAACACCACGAGGCACTTTGTAAAGTGTCACTCGGAAGAAGAGTGTTGACATGCCTTGACGTCCGTACATGTGACCGGCCGGCTCGAACTTTCTAACACGAGACTACCGACGTTATGTTGTTGACACCAAGCGCCAAACCAAACTGCGGCGAGCGGGAGCGGCGCGGCGCGGCGCGTTGCCGTGAGCAGTGCTGCCACTACCCGGCGTGGGGAAAACAGAACTCCCTACTTCCAGCTTTGGTTTTAACACTGTTCAAGTAGGAACGAATATACCACCACTCTCACATTGCATGGTAAAGGTCAATACAGTACTATAGAGATACATACTGATAACAATAATGGGCCTAACGCCTGTACAGTATAAAAATTCTCTAAAGAACAATAAAATTATTATTCCAATGGAATTATTGAAATTGTTTTACTGGATGTCTTTGTATTTTCAAATTGGCTATCGATACAGTTGTTTGCAGATAAAATTAATTGTTTTATTCATACGGATTGCTCAAACGATGAGATCAATAAAATACTCCCGTGGCAGCAAACCTGCAGACTAAGCAAATTTCCATTTATGGATAGATTTCTACTAAAATTGTACCTTAAAAAGGTTTAGATTTATTTCCTACTGCAGTTGTACCCGTGCTTTGCAACGGGAAGAGGAGGCTAAATAGAAACCTTTTTAGCGAATTTCCCATATAGGGAATAAGCTATTACCATAGGTCTCATGATAAGACCTAGATTTTAATAACAATTCTACACATGACGTGTCCTTTTCTAGTTTTCTACCAATAAACCTGTTTTCCTTAATATTCCTAGCTTTACTTAGTAATATCTTCAGACTTCCAGTATTTTACGCCAGCAGTCCTGTCTCTGAATTTTCTTTGTTTCTTCCATTTCAGTCTGACTCCCCTGTTTATTGATGTTGACTTAATTTTGATCAGAGGTATCTTTACCATTATAGGGCTTATGTGTGTCGGGAGGTTTCCCGCCACGGTTACGACTCGTTTGGTAATTGATTGGTTTTCTTCCGCTGGGTGGATTGCCTTCGCCACTGAACGTTCGTCTACTTCTACGTAGTTTACCCAATGCGTTGAGTCTGAAGGAGGAAGGGTCATACCTATGGTTCTACCAGGGGTTGGTGGGTATTCGTCTTCCACTGTGACAGCGCCTTCCGAAATGACCAGAACCTCCCAGTCGTTGTCAATCTGTACAAAAGTTGGGTCATCAATTTTGAAATTGCTATAGCTCCTTTGTCCTCCAATACCTCATTGACTATGGCGTCTAGTTCTTTTTGCAAATTTGTATTTTAACAACTGCCTTCGCCCTCCCCCGATGCTACCTCTAGAGGGTACCCTGGTTGCTTCTCGATAGGAGTGGGTCAGTGGGTCCAGCCTCAAATTTTGTAGACGTTGACGAAACTGTGGTATCGAACGAACTGTCCGATGCCGATGAGCTGGCGGAACTTGTACTGGAGGAAGGTGACGAATGGTAACACTTTTGGGGGTTTCTTTTTGCCGTCTTCCGCTCGTCCCCTCTTCTTGTGGCCCTGTCTTCTGCATCTCTCATCCGTCCAGTCAGTTCAGTGAACATGGGGAAGGTGCGCCTCTCAATGTTCCTCCGGCCTTTCTTTACTGATGGGAGACTGACACCGGGTATCTGTGGCGATGGCTTCTGGTGAGAAACCATTTTACCACTTTTTAATTCTTCGACCATGGTCCGTCTCAACCACTGGACGTCTCTTTGAGTAAGCCCTATGGTTCGGTCGGTGGCGTATGCTTCCGCTGTAGGACAAAGAAATACCCCGCAGTCCAGATTGTTAAATTGGCGTGGCCCAATGTGATCTTTAATCTTCCATTTTCTAGTAGTTAACACTATCTTGTGTTTGTTGACCACTACATAACGCAAGAAGTCAACAGTTTATTTGCAGCTCCTGTATGATTGCCATGTAGGCTACACCAGGATTTCTTTGGTTTGGAAGTCTATTATACATAGAACCAAATGTTGCAATTCTTGGAGAAAATAGGGGATGAGTAGCATGTCGAACGAAAAAACGTCATCGTTCCTCACCCAACGTAACGTCTCTGCTGGGGAACTTTTTAGCAGCTTCTCCATAAAATGCGAGTTGAGGGGAAGTATGGAGGGCCGTGCCTTTTTATTGCCTCTGTTTTGTAGTAGGCTTAACCACAGACAACAGAAACCATTAACATTAAAGTATTATATTGTCTGTGGCTTAAGTAGGTACTTATCACCATATCGCTCGTCCGTCTTCCTTCTTCCAAGTCTGTTAACTCATTCTCTGGGAGCGCCGACATTTTACCCGGTCTTCCTGTGCCACGTCTGTTGGTAGAATAACTCCCTACCTGTTGAGTTGGTTAGGCATGTCACTGATGACCCAGTCCACCCCCTTAGTGAACGTATCTTGAAACAACAGGAGATACTTATTACCTTTTGTTGATCTAGGAAAGGGACCAACTAAATCTGTACTCACACAGTACCAGGAATTTTGTGAATTAGTCCAGGACCTGACTAGGGTTCTGTGTGCATGTCGTGTATAGTGAATTTTACTTTTGCATTTCAATATAGGTGTCTTAGGAAGTGTTTTCCACTCGGGTGTCAAGTTCGCACCTGGTACGTTTTCGAGCTATGACGTCATCAAGATGGCGGCTCAGCAATTTTTGAATGCGTATATTTCGCGAACCGTTTAATGGATCAGGATGATTTATTTTTTGTTTGAAAGATATTTTTACACCCTATCTTTCTTGTATTTACACTTTTGTTGTAAACTTAATATTTATCTCACTATATTAAAAAACGTGTTTTTTATTATTATTATATTTATTGTTTTGCTTATAACTTCTTAACCGCTGATAAAATCAAATACCACCCATTGCAAAAGTTGCAGATGATTCTATACCCTTTCCAATGATACCAAACAATATGTGATTAGACCTAAAGATAAAGCAAAGAGATTGAATAAATCGTAAACGAACACTGAAAGTGGTGTACGTTCCGGGAAAGATTTAGTCCTGGACATGACTAGAATTCTGTGTGCATGTCGTGTATAGAGAATTTTGCTTTTGCATTTCAATATAGGTGTCTTAGGAAGTGTTTTCCACTCGGGTGTCAAGTTCGCACCTGGTACGTTTTCGAGCTATGACGTCATCAAAATGGCGGCCATTGATTTTTTTAAATCGTATATTTCGCAAACTATTTGTCGGATCGGAATGAATGTTTTTTTGTTTGAAAGATAATTTTAAATGCTAACTGTTTTACGTTTACACATTTGTTGTATGTTTAGTACATTCTTCGTAATTTTGCAAAAACCTGTATTTTTAAATATTTTTGAGTTGTTTTTGTTTGTAACGTTTTATTGATACAATTTATCAAAAACCACCAATGAAAAAAGTTGTAGAACATTTAAAAATCTTTACAAAAATACCAAATTCGATATGTTTTACTCAAAAGATTACGTCAAGAAACTAGATAAATCTCATAAAAACACCAATTTTGGCGCAAAAACGCCTATTAGTCCGGCCTCTAGGGCAGTTCGCAAGTCTTATAAAAACAGTTTCGCCATTCAATGTTGATGTACGTGTCTAAATAAGGGTTTTCAACTCGGGTGTCACGTCTGCACCCACTGCAGTTTCCGGTTATGACGTCATTAAAATGGCGGAAAGGGCTATATTAAAAATAACGATATTTTACATACCATGTATTGGATCGGAATGAACTTTTTTTTGTTTGAAAGATAAGTTTACATGCTATCTTTCTTACTTTTGCACTTTTGTTTTATGTTTGTACATTTTTCGTAATTTTGCAAAAACCTATATTTTTAAACATTTTTGTGTTATTTTTGTCGATAACGTTTTATTGATACAATATATCAGAAATAACTTAAAAACAAAGTTGTAGCACGTTAAAAGAGCTTTACAAAAATACCAAATTCGATACGCTTTACTCAAAAGATCACGTCAAGAAACTAGAAAATCGTACAAAACAACCTAATTTTGCGCAAAAACGCATATAAATCTCAATCCATGCAAATGGAAATTCGCTTAGTCGAAAGGATTGCTGCACCGGGGGTATTTATATAGTGGAAACATTCCTATGGACTAATTACATTGATTTGTTGTGCTTTTATTTGCATAAAAGAGGGTAATGGTCTTATTTTAAGTAAAATAGCTGGTGAAATCGTAACATGTAGCAATTTTTAAGACATCATAACCGGAAACTGCAGTGGGTCCAGACGTGACACCCGAGTTAAAAACACTTATTTAGACACGTACATCAACATTGAATGGCGAAACTGTCTTTATAAGACTTGCGAACTGCCCTAGATGCCGGACTAATAGGCGTTTTTGCGCCAAAATTGGTGTTTTTATGAGATTTATCTAGTTTCTTGACGTAATCTTTTGAGTAAAACATATCGAATTTGGTATTTTTGTAAAGATTTTTAAATGTTCTACAACTTTTTTCATTGGTGGTTTTTTATAAATTGTATCAATAAAACGTTACAAACAAAAATAACTCAAAAATATTTAAAAATACAGGTTTTTGCAAAATTACGAAGAATGTACTAAACATACAACAAATGTGTAAATGTAAAACAGTTAGCATTTAAAATTATCTTTCAAACAAAAAAACATTCATTCCGACCCGACAAATAGTTTGCGAAATATACAATTTAAAAAAATCAATGGCCGCCATTTTGATGACGTCATAGCTCGAAAACGTACCAGGTGCGAACTTGACACCCGAGTGGAAAACACTTCCTAAGACACCTATATTGAAATGCAAAAGTAAAATTCACTATACACGACATGCACACAGAACCCTAGTCAGGTCCTGGACTAAATTCCTAAATTGCATTACCCTAAAATCTTTTTGTTAGGGTACTGATACTCTTGACACAAGGAACAATTCCTAACGTGCCATGCAATTTCTCTGAACATACTTGGGCAATAATAATTGCGGCCAATTCTATCAAATGTTTTTGCTATGCCTAAATGTCCGGCTGTACGATCATCATGGTTTTGCTTTAAGACGTCTGCTCTGTTTTCCTTCGTGACTCACAGTTACCAAGGAGAAGTAGGGGGGGTTTCTCCCCGTCCTACATTATTCCAAATATGC